CGTTGAAAAATGCCCCAGTCCGAAGTGGTTAAGCAACATTAGCTATGCCAACTACATGTACATTGTTTACATGGCTACAAAATCAAGTTGACATAGTTGACAACATCTACATGTATGACCAGCAGGCAGAAGATCTTAAAGTAACTAGGTTAGTGATATTTATAATTCATCATACTACTCTTACATATTAAAATTTTGATGTTTCAGGCTGATTTTCCAATGGCAAAAGCATATTGAAACAGGTGGAAATCGCATGGAAATTTTCCCCACGCGTGCAATATTATGAATGGGGATTTTCACGTGTAGCAGTGCTGTGGTGGTGCACCAAAGTGAATTATAATTATGCCTAAGGCTAATAAGGAAGCACTGCAACCCTATGCTTCTGCTTTTGGCAGTGATCTTTTATAGGTTGGAGGGCTGTCAGACTTATCAGAGTTGCTGATGACGTTTAAGTAATGATCAATGATTTCCTCTGCTGATGGATCTTTCTCGGTGTCGAGTAAAGAAAACCGGTCATGCTACATGCATTAATCTGTTTATAGCATCAACACACAAGTACCATCAACAAAGGGTCAACAACTTGAAAATACCCTCTAAAAATTGAGAACTGGTTTTATCATACACTGTATTTTAAAGACTCTATCACCTGCCACTTGAGAGCGTGAAATTACGGTGGACATCGGACATTTTCCGAGCACATATTGTGTTTGTCCGAACAAAATCAAAGATGCTCGGACCAACATATATCAATAACAGAGATCTCTAAATATATCAACACAATACATGGGATTATGGCATCCGATTTATTATTAGTTTTGTGTTAGAATTATGTTAAGTACACCCAAGGCATTCATCAGGGCTGATCGCTCATCACCTCCCATGTCACCTACCGCCACGCGTGTATACTTTACTAGCACAGACATGAAATCGTCCCATAATTCTTTGTGCATTGTCAGCATTCATGTTTCGCTGTTACAGTGGTGAAAACACGTGCACAAAGCTCTATGCATCAAACAAAGCTGCTCCGGATCCCTCTGTGCCACATCCATGCAAAAGAATGGGGGTTCATTGCCATTAACACCCTGTTCCTACATGTATAATAAGGAAACAAAGTCCACTTTCTCAAACTAACATTTTGACCTTAAGGAACCATTGCTCAATCCTGATAGGCCTAGTTTAGGTAAATTTTGACAATATTTAAGCAAGAAAACTTCAAATTTCTAACATGAGTTTGGCAAAAGACAACCACCCAGTCAATGACGCCATATTGTTTTTCGTCTGGTTCCCTGGCTCAAGCTTTTTGGATTCATCAAAACAAATCTCTATCCAGGTCAAGGAACCAGACTACTTTCGCTTATTTGTCCTTCACAGCTCTCTTCAGGGCGGTCATGTACTGTACACTGCCGTTTTACCCAAAAATTTCCCTCAAAAACCAAAAGCCCTTGTCTCTTTTATTTCTGATATGAAAGAGGACATCACCAACAACTAGTTCAAATAAGTTATTTCGAAAAATTGGAATTTGTTCCCTTATAATAGGAACAGGGTGCTAAAGGTAATGAACCCCAAAGAATGCGTGATGGAAATGTAGAAACCAGTAACATTCTGTACTGTACAGTACATGCACTGAATGTACTGTACTAAACATTCTTCATAGGCCGTACACGTCGCAAATGCAATTTTAAGGCTGCAGGCCGGAAAGACATCAATGTTATGTTGCAAGAGGTTTTCTGCAAGTAAATTCACAGAACTTGGTATCTTATTTATGTACATGTACATGTATGTATTTTCTGTGTTCATGAGTGTAATTTGAGGTTGTTCTGCTCATGGTCCAAGGTTTAGCGGCCGCTGGTCTGGATGCATCATGCACGCTTACCCCACGATACACGGACATTGTTGGCCAGTTTGCTGTCATGATTGTGTGAATTGTTCATAATTTTTTTGTGAATTGCCGTATGTAAAAATTTTTACATAGATTAAGACAGGTTTTCATCACGTTTTCAGATAGTTTTAGAGGCTGTCGCCCCACTGGGCCATTCAATCAGCATAAAATTGCCCCAAAACAAAAAAGGTCCAACCTACCGACCCTATTTTTGAGAGGCATGCATAGCACAACTGGCCTAAATGTATTTTAGGGGCCTAATAAAAGACAACATGTATGCAGTAGGCCTAGGTTAAATAGCAATAATCGTGGATTCTGAGAAATCTTTGGTAAGTGTTGATCCGATTCGAGCAAGCAAATTTAGTATGACATGGCCTGCCCAATTGGGCAAACTAAAAAAAAAATAGTTGCGGCCTGCGCGAACAAGGGTTGCTCAATGAGGCTGCGTGTGCGGTTCTGGGAGGAAGACCAGGGAAAAAAGTGAATTTCGACCCCTGATACTGCACGTTACAACTCTACCTTTTAAATCATAGGCCTTGGCCTATCATGCCTATGGCAGATCAAACGAAGGTTGGCTTAGCTAGTGTGGTAGTACTAGTAGCAGAACAAAATTGATTCTGTTAGGCCTATGACATTTTGTGTCTAATTTCGTGCTCTGCTCTGTGTAACTGAAACAACGAATTAACTTGCAGATTCTCGCAGGATACGAAAAACTTTCGCGATGTATGTGGGCCGCCATGTTCTTTTTTTTTTCTCTCTAGCTCTGCCGTCCACGCGAAACAAAGATGGCGGCCGGTCGGGCAGCACGGTGCCCGACTTTGTCACTCGATCTTTTCAGATAAATATGATCATGGAGGAAGCAAAACTGTTTTCCTTCCTTCATGATGTGATACAGCATTTAATATTATATCTAGGAGCCTAGTTGATCTTGTAAATATAAAACTTTGGCATAAGTAGTTTAATGACTTGCTGACGCTTCGGTGGCGCTGGTCAACACTTGACTCTAGACAATGCCAGGGTCATGTGGTTCATCAACGCGTTTGGAGTTCTCGCGTCCGACGGACGTCTTTGTACGGCCAGTCGGGCATTTTTCCAAGCAAGCGTGAAGTAATTAGGCCTATAGCTCTTATTTTATACACAGCTACACGAGAGTTGCAGACCACGAGACAAATTGTTTATTGAAAATCTGACATTAGTTTTACTTACCAGTCTCATATCGTGTCCACTTGATGACATGCATACACGACCTACAACGATCGCCCGCTTGTGCGTCAGGCCGGTCAACGGCGTTGAGAGTGAGATGTACATGTGTACATGTACTTGGGGCATGCACAATGTTACGTGATTTCTGTAAAGATAAACAGCTATTTCCCTGCATGTGAATTCCAAATCGACATTGTTATACATTTTGAAAAACCTGAAAACAGAGGTGCGTGTTATTTTTTTTTCAGAATCAATGACCTACTCTCAAGGTTATGACACTCACAGTTGGTAAAATAAAACTTAAAATGTTACCGATGTTGCATAGACACCGTCACAGATTGTGCCCCAACCTAGCACATTTGGGGCCGGCGTGTCGGTCACTTAATTCGTCCCATTTCCACTTCGCCCCATTGATTATCGTTCACTCTGTTCTTCAGTAACAGGCATATATATACAACAGTGTGAAGTTTGTTCCTTGTTAACGTTTGACATTCGTATTCGAACGTTGAATAAGTAACCGATTGACATTCAAGGTGCACTCCCCTTAAAAGCTATGGAGTGCAACAGGGAAAAAACAAACTGTTTCCACTACATATTGATTAGAAGGTTTGCGTGGTGGAAGTTATGAGGTGTTCACGTAGGCTTGCGAGTACATGTACGGCATGGTATGGAATTCTGTACCTGCCGTCGTGCGTCGCCCGTCGTGCGTCGCCCGTCGCGCGTCGCCCGTCGTGCGTCGTCCGTCGTGCGTCGTCCGTCGTGCGTCGCCCGTCGTGCGTCGCCCATCAAATGGCCCGGGGTTGCATAGGACATGCAAAAGCCGTTCTTTAACAAATGACAATGGGGTGATTCCATTCACTTCTAAAGATCTTTTCCGGCAAGTACAAATCCCACCTGCAAAGCATATACTAGTCACATAATTAATTCCAATAATGCTAGACTACCCCTGCCCCTTGACAAGAAAATATCACCT